AGGGAAATTCATTGGTCCGTAGAGTCCTGAATAAAACATGAAAACTCTATTAAGTGTACTGGAGCTATGAATGAGCCACTTAAGTTTTTTCGTAATAGTTTGGTGCGTTAATATAGAATGAAAATGAAGTGCGGTCTTTTGTTTGTTTATTTTACGTGTCTCACCGGATCAGATTTTACAGCCAGAACTATCTTTTTATCAGTGCTATTGTACGAGTACTTTAACTCAGCATCGTGTGAGTGACAATGAAAGTTTCTTCTTGCACATTCTTATATTGGTTTTGTGTGACTGGATACGCATAAGAGTTATTACTCTCTGATGCAAGATGTGAAAATCTAGAACACATTTCACCTTCAGAACGGGCCAGAAAATATTGAACTACTACTACAAACAGCTCTTTTGTGCACTTTGTATTCTTTTCTTTTTATGTTCGTGACTAATGCAAAGCGTTTCACCCCTGAAACGAGGACAATCTTGGGCATAAAATTTTATCAACCTATGAGGGTATGTTTGCCAAGTATGTTCCTCTTTTCAGAGTGAACCCCACCCCTCTGAACAGATGGCTAGAGAGAATGCCCAGGACACAGTAGAGTGAGAGCGAGAGAGGAAAAGGGAGGGAAGATGAGAGAAAGACAGGGAGGAAAAGAGAAGAACATTGATGGACTAAAAATATGAATGCTTGTATTTAAAACCATTTCTCTTGTGAATATTAGACTGCATAGTGATGTAGTTTAACGTGTGCTTTCCCACTAAATGAGGTCATGTGACACTATATTTTTGTTCTCGCAACTTACTGATGTTCAACATTAAATAGAAACCTCAGAGTGAAAAGCAGAGACTATATAAATAGACTCTAACCCTAACATAGACTGTAAGAGTTTCTTCAAATATGACCAGATTTGTGTAGGTCCCTACGTTTTCATCGATGTGGAAAATGTGTACGGAACTGTGGAATCCAGTAATAAAAACAGAATTTTGATGAATAAATTGAATAATAATTTCGTACTGTTTATTAAAACTTTGTTTTTAAAAATGTTCACACATATCACACAATTTGTAGTGTAAGTTTTAATTTAAACAGTAATCCTCTGTTGTACATTACATTGTTTCCAAAAAAAAAAAATTAAAGGAATTTTCATTTGATTACATTTTAAAGATTAAATTCTCATGGTTTTATGCATTCATTTGATTATTAAGTTTGTATTAAATAAAAAACAAATCCAGAAAAATTAAAAGACATCAGAATTTCTGGGGAAAAAACAATAGGATAATATTATTGTAAAAAATTTAACACATTTTAAAAATGTTATGAATTCAATTTATTTGACCGATTTAGATTATTAAAATTTAATTGAACCAATAAAACAGAATCCAGAAAAATGAAAACAGACAACACGAAGGTTGGGAAAAAATAAAACTGAATTCATAGGGCCCTATTTGTGGCTTAGATGCACACTCCAATGCTAACAGAAAAATTACACACGGACAAGCATAATTTAGCACTCTAGGCAGATCTGACATCTCCAACTCGATGGTTACAGGCAGACACTTACAGCAAGCATTTTACAGTGCAGCCTTTCCCGACGGAAGTGTTTACATGTATAATTCACACAGGCATACAAAGCCTGCACTCTTATAAGTTCATGTTTCTGCGTATGTCATTATGGATCGCTTCCAACAGCAACTCTGAAGAAAAACTCAAATAGCAAAAAATGCATTAGAGTAAAAAAAATTTTTTTTAGAAACAGTATTATAGCCTAACATCATGTAATGCTATTACAAGTAATGTTATTGTACTCTCAAAGGGAAAACGCTGGACTGGGCAAGTGATTAGGAGTCAGGCTTTGTCTTCCAACGATATCTGATGGACCGAATAACCACATTTTTTAAAAATAACAACCAGACAATTATTCAAAATTGTAAGCATATTTTAGGGCTAAATTACTCAATTTGTTGCAGTCAGTAATTTGTGTGTGACACGGCTGAGTGTGCTTGTGGATTTTAATCTATCCTTTCACCTGTTTAATGACAGAGTTGGTAATGAATACCGAAAATCGAATTGTCGTTAATACCTGAAAATTGCTTGTCCATTAACGAGTTTAATTATTCAGATCAAGGTTGTTTGGAGGAGGGGAGATGAGAGCATTTTCACCCATGTGGTAAAAAATAGGTGCCGCTAGAGGAAAATGAAGCATCAGTCTGGTAATTATCCACAAGCGGAGTAAATATCACAACGTAATAATCCTAAATGACATTGAGAGCAGCGGAAATATAATGAGCCACATATATGCACCATTCCCATAATGCAGCGGGAACGTTGCTGGCAAGCCGCGTGTCACCTCACTGTTAGCATGCACTCCCACTGAGAGGAGAGGTTTAAACGGCCGACTGGATGTTATTTCTGCTGTACATAAAGCTGACCCCACAGAGTGTAACCGAACACCACACACACACACACACTTGCTCGCATACACAATCTCATGGCTCTGGATTTGAGTGCTCGCTCTGGCTGTCTTCCCCTTTCCCTTCTTTCGAAACATCAGTGCACACACACACCGTAAAGCTCTGACTTTTAGCTGCTGATTGAATGGAAGACGGGGCCCCACTGGCCTCTGTTGACACAATACCAGGGGGGAATTACCTCACTTAAATTCTATTTTATATCCCACTGGTGTATGACTGCTGTCAAGGATACCTCAGCTCACACACTCACGTTTATACATTCACCCATGTTCAGCTAATCCCTGCAAGGGGAAAGGGAAGGGGTGGTGTGATATTGGTACTGTAGATTTAAAATTCCAATGCTATTATTGTCTTTTAATTGAGTTACAGTAGGGATAAAGAATTGCAATTCGAATTTGATTGTAAGGAAGTAAAATCAAATTATGTTTAAAATTTATTTAATTTTTTTAATAGAAAAGCAAAATTTGCCAAGACAAACTGTAAATTTTGTCTTGACAAAGCCTTGTTTGAAATATTTAAAAAAGTTTTGTGAAGTGAAGTTTTAAGGTTTAGATAGATAGATAGATAGATAGATAGATAGATAGATAGATACTTGATATAGTATTAAATTTACAATAAACATTTAACTATTAACTATCTTAACTATTTTTAAGACCCTAAACAATACCCAAATAGCTTTTATCTAAAAAAGCTGTACTACCTTCTTGTTAAATTGTCAGGAAGTAGAAATTTAATCTGCATTTGCAATCTGTTCACTTTGTATAACAAATCTTGCTGTAAGGCCTGATATTGTTTGCACCTAATTTAATGTTCAGTGATATCTATGACCCATATTATAAAACAATGGATGGATTTACAGCCACATTTCATTTTCTTTTGAACCTACTTCAATGAAAGTAAGTCATTTACATGTAATTGATACCAGGGTCTTTATAATAATTTAACTGAATTACAGATTCTCGACATTAACAGCTTACTGTCGCATCATAATTTCCCCTGCTTAACATTTGCCTCTCATTGAGCACAGAGCGTTATTAGGGGAGAGAGGGAAAGAGAGAGAGAGAGCGAGGGCAGTGATTGTGTGTCAGTTGCCCCTCTTTCTCCTCATGATTGATTTCCCCCAGAGGAATGCCTCCACTCAGAGAGCACGCTAGAATCAAGATTAATAACAGGCCATTTACATCCTCAATCACGCACACACACGCAATCGCACTCACGCTGACCCGTGCTCACATGAGGTCCCCATCCTTCACAGGCGAGACCGAATATCTGAAATCTGAAACTCCGTCCCAGTGCCAAAAAACCTCCTCCATCTCCTTTAATAATCTACAGATCAATAATTATTCCCAGACTGGCCCCTTTGACCATTACCCATGATGCTCCAGTGTTCACCATAGTGCTCCACTTCAGTAAGGATCACCAACATACTTTGCACATTTCTGAACCTTTTGAATATGCATGCATTCTCTTTGACAGGCCCTATTTAGCAAGGTGAGTTATTGTTGTAAGGCCTTTCGGTTGCGGCGAAAGAGAAGGACAATCGCATGATGCTCTGGACGAGTCCCCACATCCCTCCGAGACACCCTGAGAAACTCATTAGACAGCGGAAGTGGTTAAGATCCAATTTGACATGACCTTGAAGGCAGCTACAAGGAGTGGGGAGTGTGTGTATGTTGATGGGTAATACGGTGCCTGTTGCTAGTGTCACGTATAGACTAGCGATGAAGGGCGTCAATCAAGTTGTTTCTACAAGCTCCTCTGAGATTTTGAAGGCTGAGATTGGCCAAGTGCTTACTAAATTCTGGTAGTGTAACACGGGTAGAAGGAGGGAAAGAGAGAGCTCGTAAACACTTCCTGATGGAGAGCGACTTGGCCACTGCCGTTTATCATGTGTCTTTTGGGAACGCTTGCATATTTGGCCAACGTTGAGCAAGCAACTCCTCCAAAAGACTTTCCATAAATTTTCTTTCCTCACATTCGTCTTTTGCACTTTGTAATTTACCCACCCCAAGTTGATCAGGAAAATGCATCTTCACGCCCTTTGTTCTGACAGCCTTTTTTTTTTTTTTGCTCTGATCCAATCATAGCCCCCTCTCTACTTTCATTCACTCAAACATGTTACACAAGTGTCGGCCTCTTATGGGGCGCGCCGCATAAAAACATTCATGAATCACAGAGGGAGGCCGAGATCACCAGTGCCCCCGATAGCATCTCGGTACTATCGATCAGCCCATGGTAATCAATTCTCCACGTCCGGGTGGTGTAGGGGCTTAGAGAGATGGATGCAATTATTCAAGTCCCTCCACCACAGGCTACACAACTGAGAGGAGAGAATCTGGAGATCACGAGTTTGCGTGCGATAGTGTATGCATGCGTTCTTGATAAACGGGCACGCTTGCACCTCCAGAGAGCGGCCCATGTCGAATATCGGTCATGTGGTTTGTGTGTCAGTAATCTGTCAGAACTGTGCGAATGCAAGGAAGCATGTGAGGCAGACAATCAGAATATCACAAAACCAGATAACCAAGGTGCCTTACCTTAGTCTGAAGGTAGTGAGGGTAATAGTAAGTGTACTGGGGGTACATTGGTTGCTGTTCCAAGCGTTTGCCCATGTAGCTGTAATCCTTCTGGCTGTGGCTGGATACAGAGACTCGCGTGTGGGATCCAACAACTCAAAAAGCCTCCGCTTGTGGTTCCACGGCTAGAGGCTAGATCCGCGAGAGGGACGGAGCCAGAGGAAGGATGGAGAGAGAGAATGAGATGATATGGCACACAGGCAAGTGTGTGTGTGCCGTGCCTCTCCTCTTCACGCCGTCTTCAGGAGCAGGGGAGGAGGAGGTGATGGAAGGAGAGCGGAGGTACGAGGATGGGATAGCAGCGGAGGTGTGCGCAAAGAAAGAAGGAGCAGCGGCACAGGAGAGAGGAGAGAAGGAAGGAAGGAGGTGCGGGAAGAGGAGGGGGCACTGTGGCGATCACTTCTCCAGAAAACCGGCTTCTATTCTCCTGCTCATGCCCTGACTTTGACTCTCTCTCTCTTTCTATCTATCTTGCTCCTTCTTTCTCACTCTCTCTCTCTTTCTCTCTGACAGTCGGTGCAGCGTCGGTTCCCAGAGGAGCTTGTCAGATATCCCAGTCGCACACTTTGTTCTCGTCTGGCGGATGCACAAAGCGGCAATGTAGACAGTCGTCGGATTTGGATCTCTGCACGCGTAGCTGACAGGACCAGATGTGAGCCGTGAGGTTACGAGGCACACAGGAAACGGCACAAACTCCAGGCAGACTGCAGTATCCGAAAAGTCCAGGTGCAGCAATGCTGTTTTTCCTCTGTGATGTTCTTTTCTTTATTAAACGCCTCCCTCGACTGCCTGCTTTGTTGCGCGCGCGAGTGTGTGTGCGAGAGTGAGAGTGAGTATATGTGGCTGTGTGAGAGTGTGTGAGTGTGTGTGCGCGCTGCCGGCTGCTCCACACTGTGGGGAAGATTGAAGGGATCAGCTCGGGCAGCGCCGTGTTCCTCCTCCTCCTCATCCTGGTGGGTGGGGCTAAGGGCTGGCTGCACCACTCCCAGCCAGGGGAGTGTCTTAAGCAGCCTATCTCTGTTTGTCCTCATGGGAGAGCTGCCGCCCACTGCACGGCTTCACTAGATGCTGAAGGGGACGGCTTACTCCTACTCTCACACTCTGGGGGAGGAGACTGAGGACAACACAGCAAGGAGCCGAGGCCCCCTACTGGTCAACCGCAGACTGTACCTCATCTGATCTCCTTTTTTTTTCAAGCTTTTTCTTTTCTTTTTATCCTTTTTATCTTGTATTTTTAACTTCACTTTCTTCAATAAATAAAACATGAATGACAATAAGATGTTTCTTTGCTCTTGTCTGACACATGCTGGTAACCTTGCATTGCCTGATACACTGACATACTGACACACTGACATGCATACAAGTACATAAGTGCAGTGCAGAAATGGCCATGAATTAGAGTCTTCCATAAGGCGTAAGCACTGTTGCTTATTCCAAAAAAAAAGAAAAAAGCCAGGAAGTGAAATGCTGTGCTGGGAAAGAGTGCAGTTTCATAGCAGATGCTGTTTTCCACAACCTCTGCAATAATGTTTGTTGCAGTGGCCAATTATTTGCAGCAGAAAAATAGGACGCAAAAAGAAAGTAACTGAAAAATCTCTCCCTAATCATTCCTATATGCTCTTTCTTTGAGTTTGCACTTTGATCATTGTTTTGACATTGTTGAGGTATTTTTTCCCCAGGATTTTCCCAGTGCTTTTTAAAACAAAGTTCACATGCAAATATGACTGTTTGTAAGAGACAGTTTCAGGGCGTGACAAATTAGCGCTAAAAGAAAAAGCAGGCTGTGTGTTTGCAAAGTGTTTGCAGACTGACGGCAGTAATTATGAGAGCTATGGCAATTTTTTTGCCCAAAGACTGCAGTAAAGTGAAAGGAATGTGAGACCTAATAAACAAACAGCGATTGGGAAAGACAACAATACATTTTCATTAGGACAGGTTCTCATAGACGTCTGCAGTGCGGGAGGAGAGAGAGAGAGGGAGAGGGAGAGGGAGGTGTACGAGTCTAGCTCTCTCATCATTATGATTGGAATGCTGAGGCACAGAGGGAGGAAGGGAGAGAGAGAGAGAGAGAGAGATGAGAAGCCAGTGGAAGGGGTTCAAATAAACCACAGCACACCAAGTGCATGGTCACTAAAAGTCAAAGCAGTTAACAGCAATGGACAGCAAAACAGTTAAAAGCCTTTAAGGCTTGCTTACGCACAACATGCGGGTTTGCTGTTAAGTCCTATAAAGTTTTTTAACTGCCCATCCTTCAATAACACCCTTTTTAAAGTCTGCATTATATTTTGTGGCAGGATCACAAAACAGCTCATGCAGAAAATATGATGCACAAACTGTTAGATCAGACTGAAAGGTCAGAAAATCAGAGCAAGCTGTCTTTTGCAGCTTAGTTTTCTTTGGTTATTTTGGTCTAGGGAGATTTAAGTTACAGTGTGTTTTCATAGTGCATCAAACTCTTTTATCTCAAAGAATCAAGGCAAATTGGATTCCTTGTGATGATACAATCATTTCTTGATGACAATATTTTTGTCTTTGAAAATATATAAGTATATTTCTTTTTAAATATTTTATGTAATTTTTATATTTACAGATAAATTAAAATATGAACTTATAAAAATACTGTATATTAAATAATATATAATGGCATAGATCCAATCAAGTTCTGTTTTTGTGATGCATGTTAATTCCATATTACTCCACATAGATGTATGTATTGGTTTGAAGGGTAGTCAGATGTGTTTCAAAAAGTGAAGGAGCTAAAATTAATAGCCTTTTTATTTCCTTACTTTGCATGATGTTTTGGGGCTTTTCTGGAATGATTGTGCAGGGTTAGCGTGAGTACACGCTCACAGAACGAGGCCGGTGCCATGACGCCGTAATTGTTCTTGCTAAGGTCTTCAAAGAACTCTGCAAATGGAGCTGGACACGCTCCCTGCAACTCAGGGGTAAGATTCTCAAAAAGCCAAAGAAGAAAAAAATGCTCTCATCTGGACTGCTGCACAGCTGGGAAAATACAGTCGGCTGCGCTCATTTGTGGGACGACAGAAAAAACATGGGATAATTGTGTCCCTTGGATGGAAGCAGGGATGTAATACTGTAGTGTCAGTCGAACACCTGTTTAATACGTAAAAGGAGAAACAGACCTCTACTGTTTGCTTAAAGTGTTAAGTTTTGGTTTAGTAGTCAATATTGAACACCAGAGTCTGTGTCATGGAGAATATCACTATATTAACAGCATATTAAGGTAGACATTATTTTCCAGTAGATGAAAATACGTAAATCTACCACTAATGTGCTATTTCATTACACCAGTCTCTAGCTAACACATTTAATATTAAAGTCTAATGCTTATACAGATGAAACAGTGTGTTAGTTTAGATGGTAAGCTAACTGATAGCTTGAAGGTGGGCAACCAGCCACAACACTCTAGTATTGTGGTGCAATGTTTTGCATAGACAAGCACCGCTAATTTTCCTCAAACAATGTGAAAATGTAGTTTTGCATGTACCATCCACACTTCAGCACAGCCACATTGGCCATGGTCCCGCCACCTGGGGGTTTATCCCAACTGGCTCCGGCCCAGCCAATCTGCTGTCTGAGTGGTGCTATAGCAAACACCTTTCTCGTCCAGTGACAGTCGGGCTAGATAAGTAAGTTAGAAACAAAGCGTGTGAGAAAACGAACGAGAAACGGATAGAAATAGAGCATATCCAAGATGCATGCATAATCAATTTGCGATCAGACCTCACCAACACAATTTATCACAGCAATCTTTGACTATATTAATATTCACTTCTTATCTATAGCTCATTGTTTGCAAACAATATAATGGAAACAATCTAAAGCTGGGAATCATTTAGGTGCAACATTAATTATAGTCAACACAATGAGTTAAAGGGACCATCAAAATAAGGTGAAACTTTTTTTTTTTTTTTTACTTTTTTGGCATTTTAAGTTGAGTTTTGTATAACAATTTGAGCTGGGAGATATATGTTAATTAATATGTTTATGTTTTGTGATTAATATTGTCTCTTTAAACAACATATTCAATGCAACATCCATTTTTAGATTCCTAAATCTATACAAATATTTACCTAATACTGATATTTACTAATATTCACTTGGTGCTAGTTAGTGCTACCTGCTCTCATGTCAGCATTTTCTCCAGGTCCTGCAAACCATGGTTTCCTAAACGGCTGCACGTCCCACAAGTGGATGGATGCCCTATGTAGGACACCCTACCTCGTTTATCATACATACCAGTAATGTATGCTTGTCTAAATACACACACACAGACAGTATAGTAAATTACTATTAACTGCAGAAAACTAATATTAGTTAAATGTTTTAAATATGCAGCCCTAGTAAAACTTTAACATTTGGCAGTCCAATCAACTAATCAAGAAATGAATAGCTACAGTATGTTCAGAATAGCATACTAGTGTACTTCTCTAATTATTTCTACGTTACAGTGTATATACATATGGCAGAAACTGTATGCTATAGTATGCAATTCTCAATGTTAAAAATCACAGCTACTTCCGTTTCATCCATCACACTGGAAATGAAAGGTCAAATTGAACACATGCATTGTGGAATACAATATACCATGCAGCATGTATTGTTGTATACTGTTCTCTTCAGGTATTCTGTTCATACAGGATATTTTCATATTGCACAGTATGCATATTGTATACTACAGCAATAATACAAGCTTTTTGTACAAAATTCTGTACAATTTTTCGAACATCAAAATAGCCCACAACTGTAACACAGAAGGGTTAAAAGGCACTCTTTAGTAAAAACTTTTGAAATGGCAGACACCTAATACCAGCAATATCTCAACTTCCTCCGAAAGCAGTGCTCAAATGGGTGAGAAAACACAATATGTTTTGAAAAATCGGTGAAGTAGGTGGGCTCGAAACCAATCCACCCATCTCCAAGAAAACGTCCCAGTGTGTTTTATCACTCATGAGTGCCTTGTTAAGTCCCGGGGTAGTTGAGGTTCATTTCACACAGTTTTGTTCCCCGCGCTTTGACTCAAAGCCATAAAGTTTAATAGAGTTCCTCTAATCTCACACTGGGCGACCCACAGCACAGCGGCGCACTTATTAGATCCTCTGCCGGCAAAGAGCGGCCACAGATTCACACCAGACACGCGGCGCGACAAGAAGCACAATCTTCTGCTCTTCAAATGACTGATTTCATCCTACGTTTCTTTAAGTGTGTAATTTGAGTAACTAGCGTTACTACAGTGAGCTGGCTCGAAGAGGAGGGTGTGAGGATAGGTTTTAAATGCTTTAGAAGAATGGTTAATGTAAGAATGAAATGAGAAAGAGCTGGGTGGGGAGAAGAAAAAGGAAAACAACCTAAAAAAAAATCAAATATAAGCCAATTTACTTTTCATTTATTCACCCACATGTTGTTCCCAAACTGTATGACTTTCTTTCTTCGGTGGAAAGAACTGTTTTTGTCCGTGTAATGAAAGTCAATGGGGTCCAAAACATCACTGTACCCCTTTACTTTCATTGTAAGAACAAAACCAGTTGACATTTTTCAAAAAGGCAGTTTTTGGGTGGACTTTCACTTTAAAACACATTCTTGGTCTTATTGCACATGGTATTCCAAAGAAATATATAGCGTATTTGTCTTCGTAATTTCCCACCCTACATTTTTATCTCGTTGAACATCCTGCTTCGCTCGGAAATACATCAAATTGGCGGAGCAAAATGGGTTGCAAATGCCGTTTCATGTTGAAACGGGTGGATATTAAACTAGTTCCTTTTTTTTCCATTTGGCGTATACCCTGATAAACAAGTGATGGAGAGGCTTTTCTCAGAAAATCACACCAAGCAGAGATTATAGGTAACAAGTTTGCATTAATACGCCGCCGTAGAGCTGGAGAAACGGCACTAAAAATACCAG